GGTAAGTATATATATATATATATATATATATATATATATATATTCACCCCTTTCTTTTGGCAAAAGATCACTTACAAGTGATTTTTATTATAATAAGATAAATTTTAAAATAAAATCAACATAACAATAAAACCAAGATCTTAACAACTTGATGCCATTAAAACAACTATGCACTATCCTTGAGAATAAAAGATAAGATTGCAAAAAACAAAAGGAAGAGTGCCGACGATTACCTCAACTGGGCTTATTATACCCCACACCGAGTCACCACCATCCGATGGCGTGGGATCAACGGTCTAGCTTCAATCTCGAACCCGAAAATCACATTTCGGCCAAGCCGCACCAATGGAACATGAACCCCTTTGATCACAAAGTCAAACGCTAGGTGAATTCTCTTAGCACTGTAGTTTTAGAGAGATGCATTCTCTTTTTGCTAAACTCTAAAGCCCTTAGCGATAAATCCATATTTGAGAGATAGGAGAGATAAGGACTCCATAACCTAAACTGTTAGGTTTTTTTACAATGTGGGAGAGAGAGATCAAACATGAGAGAAATAAACTTTTTTAAGAGAGAGAGATAGAAATATAAGGTGTAGAGATTTTGGGTAGAGACAATCCATTTTTACAGGCTTTGAATAAGATTAGGACTTTTTAGGGTTTTCTTTGGCTTGCCTCTTCTTGTGAGATTGAACATAGACCGTCGATCAAGGGTGACTTGTGGGGTGAGAGATTTGAGCCATCCATGCCATAGATGGACCATCAACATTATGGAAGGTGCATGAACCATTATCCTCCTTTCCTAAACTATTTTCCCATCAATAGAAATTAAATAAATTAAATCTAATCAAAATATTGTGCTTACCATAAATCTATTCAATCTTTCCACAAAATCTTTCAAAGATATATCAAGTCAATATCTTTCAACCATATGGCCACATGTCATATCACCAAAAAATCGGAAAGAGAATAAGGGTGGGGCGTGCCACCCAAGGGAGGCACTCATGGGCCCCACCTAAAAATATGGCAGGCCCACGTGCACAATGGGCCCCCATGATATAGCAGGGGCTCATTAGCTGGTTACTAAAGTCTGGTGGATGAGCCAAGGGGTCAAAATCCCAGTATGTGGATTACAGATCCTCCCCTAGAGACAAGTCAAGGTCACAAAGACCTTATGCGACCACAGCTCTATGACGCACATACGCTTCACCCTAAAAGAAGGATTTCTAGCTTTCCTGAACGATCGATGGTATATGGATGAGATTTGACCCCTGTCTCTGTAGGCTACCATCACACATAAGAGTCACACAGTTCCTCGGCTCACTCATCCGGGCATGTTCTCCGACCTCATCAAGGGCTAACACATAAACCCTTATCGACTTGTTCTTCATGCCCAGGTAACATGGGTTTTTCCCAACTGACTGACCTAGATCGTTAAGCACAGATCGGTATTACACGAGGGACCACACTCCCACTGAGTTCATATTCTACTATATCATTTCATTTTACAAGCACTCACAAGGCCTTTAAATACCACATAAACCCAACATCTCTCACTTGGCATTTGAATGCCTTACAATCTCACTTTCTCTTATTCCCATCTTTCTCTCTCCCAATTACAAACTCACTCAAGTATTTTGACTTATTCTCTCAATACATTAATCATGGCTTTCGCCATTAATCCTTTCACAAAAGGATTTATAGAGGCAACACGTTTTTCTCTTTACTGCTCGGATCTCATCCTAAAAATGGTCGTAGCTCATCTTTCAAATCGCATCGCGAATCATGGACCATAAAAACCCATCACGTACCCTTATCTCATGAGATCGTCTGTTCATGGGCTCAAAAGAGTTCTTCAAATAAGTTGCTCCCTTTTGTAGCCATACAATCAGCACCAAACATTTGGGTTCCATGGATGAACAACAATATAGTCTGTTGTTCCATTTGGCATGTCAAATACTAGCAGGTGTTTCCACTAGAATATTTAGTTTATCTGGATCTTAATCTTTCTCAATCTCACCTCATTCTTCAGGCGATAAAAACATGGTTTTATACACTTGGAGTTCTCATGGAATCGTGGCTCCTTTGACACGCATATCGTCAACGTGTTGTCGCAGAAAATTCTTACTGCTTCACAAAGCACGAGGTGAAAGTCAAGTCGATTAAGAAATTTCTTAATCCATACGGCCTCTTCGATCACCAAACAGCACGCCACGTACTCTGCCTTCATAGTGGACAATTTTGTCACATCCCGTTTCTTTGATTTCTAAAAAATTGCACCTTCTTCAAGCATCAACATATATCCAGATGTAGACTTCGCATCATCTGGATCTGTGAGATAGCTTACACTTGTATATTTGAATATCCAAGCAGCTAAAAAACCGTGGGACTGTAGCAGCTCCCACTCAATTATTGCACATAC